TCATAGGCTTCCTCTGCAAACACTGAGAACCTGCTGACAAACAGCAATGCTGTGCTTGAGAACACATTTCAAATGTTGTCATCTTCCTCTCTTAATGTATAAATATGATTCCCAGTATCATCTCCATCTATATTTGGAAAAAGTGATACTAATCTGTTTTGTGGCATAGTCAGCCCATTTACAGAATATCTGGACTGTATTTTTTATTCAAAATGCATTTGAAAATTACCATGATTATTGTTATTACTCATTTAAAATAAAAGAAGGAAGCAGAAGTTAGTGGATACGCGTCCCAGAATGTATTTTGAAGAGTCAAAGGGTCCAATCCCAGGTTTGTCCTCTTTAGCTGTGTGGTGCTAGGCTACGAAGAAATGTCTCAAGGCATTGATTTCTTCACTCCTAGACAATGGATAGTAATACTCACCTTGCAGTATTATCAAAGGGGACCATATGAGTTAATGAGTATACAAGTATTAGAATAGTTTAACTATTTTATTATTACTTCACCTTGTCTGAGAATATAATTTCATAGCTAGTTTTTTGGCATACAGAGAATCATTTCAGAATATTCTGCCAGGGGCTGGGGCTGTGGCTCAGTGGCAGAGGACGTATGAGGCACTGGGTTCAATCCTCAGCACCACATAAAAATAAATAAATAAAATAAAGGTATTGTGTTCATCTACATCTAAAAAATGTTTTAAAAAAAGAATATTCTGCCAAAAGGTTGTTTACTTAAATCCTTCATCACTTTAAAACCACATAGTGGTTTGCAAAGTCAACCTTTTGCAACTTCTTTCTAGTGTTTACTTATATATGAATTTTATGGAATTAAACACAATTTTAATAATTATAACATTATAATTCATTAATTTGGTTAATTTCTATCTATACTTTCACTGCAATGTCCTTAAGAATTGACACTATTTATAGTTTTCTCATAACCTACAACAAATGATGCTTTGCACAAATGGTTCTTAATATACTGAATAAAAATAAATGCATAATTCATGTTGAGCTTGAATTATAGTAAAAAATCTTATAACTTGATTTTTCTGTACATATGAAAATCATATCACATGTTCTATGTTAAGTAAAACAAGTTGTAACATAAAAATATCTTCATGAAGAAACCTTAAAAATTGATTACCAAACAATTAAATTTCAACTCATGAAGTTACACGTATATATAAAATTACACAAAAATAGCATTTAGGAAAAGAGTTCATTGATTTTTTTTTACTTATTTCATAATAAATGAAACCAATACATGTTATTATTTGAATATCAATAAGAAGAAAATTGTCTCCTATGTAATTTGTATATATTATAAATATGAAAGAAATTATAGGACTACAGTGTTATGATCGCTTGCCCTCTTTAACTAATGGCATTTGTTACATTAACACCAAAATATTTAGATACATTGGCCTGTTGAGATTTTCTGATAATTTGAATGAGGTAAAATTTTGAAGCTTCCCTCTCTTTTAAAATTCTTGAGGTTAATATTATAAAAAGAACAAATTAGCAAACCAAAGAGAACTATTAGGAGCCTAATAAAATTACTTGGACCTCTGACTATAGCAACACTGATAAATGATTGATTTTTAATTAATTTAAAGTTGTTGTATCATTGTACCATTTCACTTAACCTGAAAGTTTTTAACAGAAGAGTCAGATAAAAACATATACTAGTTCAACCTGCAGTTTGGTCTACTTAAACAATTTCATTATTCATGCAAGAGCAAGTAATGGGTATTTATTTCTCATTCATTCACTATGATAATAATATCTGATCAGTGGGCTAGCGTGATCAATGAGGTCAGCTTAAGGAATTAGAATATGAATAATGTTTACTTTAAAAGTTCATTGGCAAAAAATAAAGACTCAAAATTAGCTTTTATTATGGAATCTGGAATTATCATGTGATGATATTTTGGCATCTTTATTTTGTCCTAGAAGACTTCTTTGATGGGTCTGATATCCATTCAATCGTCTTTGAAGAGATACTGAATTTCTCAAAATGGAATTGATGGTCAGTCTGTTTTAGGAATATTAATTTGGCATCACTCTCATATTGTGTGTGTGTGTGTGTGTGTGTGTGTGTGTGTGTGTGAGAGAGAGAGAGAGAGAGAGAGAGAGAGAGAGGAGTATATATAACCCACATAACTCTCACAAATAAGCATGGCTATAGAACTGTTGGCACCCAATCCACAAAATGTACTTTGGTAAAAGAGTCCAGGGCTCCAATCTTAGGTTTGTCAGCATTAGCTGTGTGACACAGTGCTATAAACAATTTGAATTCCTTTGCTCCTACACTGTAGATAGTAATACCCTGCAGGTTTACTGAGGAAATTGATTTCTTGGACACATGAGATACATATGTACAGATGTATCTTATATACCTAAGTTCCAGTGCTGACTATGAGGGCTAAGAAACTACTTGCTATCCATAAACTAGGATTTCCTAACTCGCATTTTGCTAAAATCTACAGCTTACAATTTGGGAGAACATGTGCACTAATTATAGAGATAAGTAACCACATATGGTTCTATAAATTTAGGAAATCTAATTTTTCAGTGACTGAAAACTTTTATTTTCACACAAGGGTTTATACTTTCTTTCCTGTTTCAAGTAGTTGAAGCTCAAGGCTCTAAAAGGAGGCCCTGGACATCATTATTTTTATGTCTATTCTCACACCATTACCGTGGTTTTGTAGCTACTGGGAGAAAGAAAACTTTTATAGTATGGAAAAGATTACCAATGGATTATCCACAAACATTTAGCTTGAGGTAAGGCAGGGGTCTGTTACTCCTACTTCCAAGTGATTTTAGCAAGATTCACAATGGTTTTGTATTAAATAGTTTAGGAAACTAATTTTCATAAATTAATTGTCCTCAATATTCTATAGGAATTAATCACTGAAAGTGATCAAGAGGGAAGAATTAACAGATGCAACTACAGCAGATACAGAACAGAAGGGAAGAAAGATGTCCACTGCAAGTGAGACTACAGCAAACAGTGTACAGAGAATGCAGGTGGAGGGTCCACCAAGACAAGGTGACTAGCATTTAACTTTACAATAGCACATTCGCTCAAGTAGTTCACCTCACACTCTTGTGTCTGAGTCTAGCTGAGCAAGAAGGTCCAATCTGAACAAAAATGACAAGGAAAAGACATTGTGATAGAACTGCCTGTAATTTATCTTGGCAAGAGTTTTTGAGTTTTCTTAGGGTACAGTGGACATAGCAGATAGGGACAGGCATGGAGAAATTATACTGTTAACTCACTCAAGAAGGCTGCTTGAAAATCAAGAGGAAATTAAGAAAGTCTAAGGTTTACCATTGTGTGGTGGTATCTGATTTCTATGCAAATGTCTCCAAAAGCCCCCGACATCAAAGGAACAAATCACACAAGAAAACAATTGGCCTTCAGACATTTACCTTTACTATCAGTGCAACTCAACGCTAAAAATGCAAAATAAGAGGAATTCATGCATTTTTATTTCCTTCACTCCCATCCCAAGAGACCTGAATATCTATATCCTTATCCCCACATTCTCAAATATACAAATTATGGGTTTTTTGTAATCTTCAGTCATTTATTTCCATTTTACCAAAAAACAACCTTGACATGGAATGTAAAAAATAACAACATTTTCATGTTTCTCACAATTCCATGAGTTAATATTACTTTCACAAGGCAATGAAGAGTACACTGTGGTATTCATCTAGCAAGTGGAATTCATCTAGAAAGTAGACTTGGATGAGGAGTTTCAAGACTGACATAACCATCAACTGACACGTAGTGTTGGAAGGCTGAACCGAGCTGCAATTGTGATCTGAGCATCAACAGGCGATCTCTCTTTTATGGCCGCCTCAGAATAGCCAGACTTTCCACATGACAGGTTGAAATTTTAAGAGTTAAGTGTTGAAACAAACAAGGCAGTAGTTATTTAGCAATCAAAAGTTTCCTGAAAGTCATGAAATTGGCTAAAGGTATTCTAAAGGCATGGAGTAAAGTATCTGACTGTTCATGTTGAGCTGCAGTTGTTAAAGATAAACAAAATTGTTCCACATTTATGCCCCTACCAAGTTGAGACTGATCAAAACCCCTCCACAGAACTATTCATAGCTCCTCTCTGATCTGAAAGGTGAAATTAGCTGCAAAAGTGTTATAAATTTGCACCAGATGCACAAAACAAATGAGAAAACGAAATGAAAGATACTTAGAAGGGATTTTCCAAAAGTTTTAGGAAATCATAAGCAGAAGAACTAGGGAAATGCATTTCTGTTGAAAACAAACCAAGTAAAAAGAGTCAAATGTCACATTTCCACTCTAACTGATTACTTAAAGAAATTTTTATCACATTCTCTATTATACTATTAAACCATAAGAACTACAATTAACCTCAGTTGACAGAATTCTATTTTGGACCAAGCAGAAATCAACAAAATCAACACAAGGAACAATTATAAACACTTCTAGGAATTCTCTGCAGCTCTTTGCAGAATTGCACTTAAAAGTGTATTCCACAGTAACATTCATTGAAAATATATTCTAGTTACAGGAAAGAGACAGGGAGATAATTTTTTAAATGCTCTTCTTGATTTAAAAAATATTTTGGAGTGAGTAATTTTATTTGATTATTATTTTTTATTGACCAACCTATGAAACTCTTAGTGATATAGACACAAGGATCATGCCTGGCAGAAAAGCTGTCACTCTGGTGACTTTTTGAGAGTACAGAGTGAAAATGACGAGACCTCACAATGAAATGCTTTTCTAGGTATTCATGCGATCCTGCAAACAGGGCTCATTGGCAGCTGTCACAATATCTCTGGACTTATGCAAGGAGGAAAAGGAACAGGTTTCTGAGTTTCCCTGGGAGACCACTCAGCTGTCATTGCAAAAATGAAAAACATCTCAGCAGGGACTCATTTAAAAGTGTTAAATCCAAAGAACTGCGGTATAACATTGATTCTGTCCATGCCATACTTACTAACTTTACTCGCAATTATGGAGAAATTATACTGTGCAGTGCTTTCTCTGTCTAGTAATTCATTAGTGGCGATGGTTCCTTCTGTTCCATCTATTGTAAAGTAGCTGTCCCCATCACTCTTCCAATCTATGAAGTACCTGCATGTGAAAAGAGTAAATGCAAATGTGCAATGATTACACATTAATCATAATGGCAGTTAGGCTAACTTGACACAGTTCCTTATTTTTCTCCCTGTAGCTATTACCCACCTTGCAATAAAGAAGAGTGTAAATGACAGCTTCTTTATTGCAAAGTCAGTATGCTCAAGGGGAAACTGGAAATAATGAAAGATTTAGTACTCCTGCTGTTCATATTATTTTAGGGTCTTGACACCTTGAAAGCTCAGCAGAGACTGAAATTCTAAAGCTGACCATGGGTTTCCTTAACCTGCTGAATATTAAACTTTTTTGAGCAGTAAAAAAAATCCTTAACAGTGGCTGTGAAAGGGCTTTGGATGAGGGAGACTTCTGCAAACAACAACAAAAATCTATGCCAGAACTGAGGTAGAATCTTGATGTTAACACAGACAAACAAGGCAGTAGTAGAAAAATCACATTATGGAAAATGAAGGAAAAACTTTGACAATTTGGTGATTGTACAAAAATATTTTTCTTTATACAAACATAAAAGAGCCATTGCTGTTTTATTATACTATATGTCAGGACAACTTTCAAAAAGAAGTGGTGACCTTGGCTAATGATGTCTTTTTTATCGTTTTTATTATCTGACATATTTGGTGATAATGTTGCTGACTTATGTGAAGCAATAGGAGTAGAACATTCAAGAAAATGAATAACAAAACAGAAATTGCATTCACTTAAGTTGTTAGGAAATGGTGAACACATGAACTGATATGTTATCAATTATAATAACAAGAGTTAGCATTTTTAAAGCTTGCCATATTTCTCTCGGTGATGATAAATATTATCATTAATTCATACAGTCGTTCTAAAACTATATTATCAATCTCCCCACTTTACTTATGAAATTATAGAAATGAAACCATAGAAACAAGAAAGAATTTGTCCAAGTTTACATAGATTCAATGTTTTATGCTGATATTTGAACAAGTCAATAATGATCCCCATATGATCATCACTCTGTATTATTACCAAATTGAGAAGGGATATTATAAGGGAGAGCTCTGGTAATCATATGGTGTGACACACAGAACATTTACCAACATTATGTTTCTGGCAGAGAAACAAAAGATAGGTTCATAACAGTGGCTGGGAGCAGTGACATTATTGCAGCTGGCCCATTGAAATACCCATGCCACAAAAAGTGATCCTGTGTTCATCATGAAAAGTCAGTTAAGGGAAGTCTATCTCCAAAGAGCAGGTTATTATTCTGGCAAGCTTGTTATTATTCTGATAAGTTTGTAGTTCTCATGTCACTGCAGTCAGAGATCAAAACTTGTTTGCCTTTACAAATGAGATTTATGAACTTAACTTGTCAATATTTGTTAGTAATTGATTTTCCCACCTGAAGTTACTGAATGTAATGGAACAGGGTATAAACCGTGCTATTAATCTTTTTATATCACGGCTGTTGATTTGAGGTGTGAGAATGCATTGAAGCCATGTGATTTCAATGTAATAGCTTGTCTTATAGGAATGCTCTCAAAAATATAAATGAAGTTAAGTTACATTTAAAAGTAAGAAAGCATGAGGATATAATAAGTCTAATTCTCTCTGTAGCATGTTCTTTTTTTGAACAAGAAAGCATTGTCTCACAATAGTCCTTTTAAGCACTTCTATTCAACTAAATATATGCCTAATTGAAGAAGAAAAATTGCAACTGAATGTGTTTATCATCTAGCATTTTGAAAAGAATTATCAATGCATACTATGCGCAATCATGCAATTCATTATATTTGCTGACTGTACACCATGCAGTAGACACCTTGCTAGAGTTGAAACACGAAAGTGAAGTAAAATAAACAAGAGTTGGGGTTACACATATCAACACATGATCTTAATGACTGATAGAGGGATAGGGAAGACCATAGGAGAGCCAAGAAAAGGCAACAAGTGTAAAATCAAATGGTTCAGGCAAGACATCCTGTGCATGATGATTGGTGGCACTAGAAGGATATGGAGAAAGGATCCTGAAAAAAAGACTAAAATACCCAAAGTGAAGGGGAAAAGATGGTATTTTAGAGAGCAATGCAATCACACTAGCAGACCTGTGAAAGTAGTGTGGAGAATTATACATTGTTAGTAATTGCTACAGAAAATACTTGAGAGGAACAACAATGAGAAGATGAGTGATTTAGGTCAAAGAAGGCCTTACACATACTATTAAGGAGGTAGGCCACATGCTAAGGGAGATCAAAACTGCTGAGCAAGGTCACGGGGGCTTACATTTAATCCCTAGAAAAGTAACTTGTTGGATGTATTTGAAGAGGATGAGACTGTGAGCATTTCTGGATCTCCAGAATCTTGCCAAAAGACGGAGAGTAAGCAGGGTTGTAAAGAGACTTGATTCAACAGGCTTTGACGAGTGATGAGGACAACCAGGGACACTTGCAGCCCAAAGAAGACACAAGATACATTAGCTGACTTTAAATTGGTAGAGATGGGCACGTGCAGGGGTGACAGAATTACTTGTTATGTTTTGAGGGAATAGGTAGGATTGAAGAAGAGAACATATGTAAACACAGATTTCAGATACATAAAGCAAATATGTTTATATTAGAACTGTAAACATTTATAAGGGGTTTCCTCAGGAAAAAGTACACACTGTGGGCGATTTGGGAACTGCTCCGGTAAGTTCCCACTTTGCTAAAATGTACTTCACCTTCCATAAACTTATATTGAGATAATTTACATGCTAAAAAATTCACCCACTTCATCTGTAAAATTCATTCATTTTAGGTATCATGAATGTTGTGCAAGAATATGGTAGTTTTTAGAAAATATTTTAAATGTATTAAATCTATATGTATATATTGTTACATGTTTAATTTTCTGGAAATTTCATTTTTATGGGTAAAAATTGTGATACGGTCAAGGAATAAAACAATTCTGTCCCTGAGTAGTTTTTAATGATAAAAGACATTCTCTTGCCTCCTGTTTAAAAGTTATTTGTTCTTGTGTAGGTAGACCTTGGTGCATAATTTACATTAGGTACTCTCCAACGTGACAGACAAGAACCACTACTCTGTATTATTTTTAAATTTAAATTTATCATACATTTCTAAGAACATTTTAGAATACATTTCCAATATATTACTTGTTAATATTTTCCACATTCATTTTTAACTTCATGTACACACACGTATAATGTTTTAACAGACATATTTGAGAGCACCTTACAGGTTTCATATCCCCTGGATCCTAAATACTAACATGTTTCTCCAAAAATTAAAGACAACTAATTTGTCCCATATTGTTAAGGTTAATATTAACAATTTGGTTAGTCCAGAAATAAATACTTACACACTTAATCTCAGAGTAAAGTCAAAATAAAAAGAGGTGAGTTCCCTGTAATTTTAGGCCATTCTGATGCCCAGCCTATGGGAAACTACAAGTCAAAATTAGTGGCTTTAACATTTTTATGGTTTAGATATTAGGTATCGCCCAAAATATTATGTGTGAGACAATGCAAGAAGGTTTAGAGAAGAAATGATGAAGTTATGAGAGTCTGAACCCAATCAGTGAGTTAATCCCCTGGTGGAATTAGCTAAGTGGTAACTAAAGGCAGGTAGGGTGTGTATGGAGGGCACGGGATGTTTTTGGGGAATGCATTTTGTATTTGGTAAATGGATTCTCTCTCTCTTCTTTTTGGTCATCATGTGAGCTGCTTCCCTCTGTCACACTCTTTCACCATAATGTTCTCCCTAGCCTCAAGGCTTAAGGAATAGAACAGGACAGGACCCCTGCAACTATGAGTCCTCAAATAATCTTTTCCTCCTGTAAAATTGTTTTTGTCAGATCTTTAAGTCACAGCAATGAAAAAGCTGACCTTTATTGAAATCCTATGCTAAGAGGCAGAAGAAGACCCCCTTACCAAGAAAGGTCACTGACTACATGTTTTCTCAGGGTCAATTAATCTGTGTTTACAGATTGACTTCACTTCACCCACTTTCATATTACCCCATACTCTGTGGCAGGCCCAGTCTGATAGGCAGAAACTTTCTCGGCTCTCCAAGATCAATATCCCTGAGCCCTTCCCATATCTATGATCTTTGAAGTCCCACAGTATCAGATTCACTGAGGGATAGAAGGGATATGCTTCAAAATGATATAAGTGTGGTATCTATACACAAAAGGGTTGAGATATTTGTAAGGCCCAAAGAAGTAAGGTTGCCTAGTGTAGTTACTTGCTACAAAATGTTGAAAAAAAAAATGCATGGCCATTTGCACAGAACCAAAGACTCAAATTGGCTAACTTTGCCATCAGAAATTTATAATCATGCAAATCATGTTTCATCAGATTTTATGTAGTTTTTTTATTTTCTGCCTTTTGATTAGATTGTTTATTCCTTTTACATATAAGGTCTTTGAATTAATATTGAATCTGCATTTGCCAGTTTATTTTTTTTCCATAAGTTTTGTTTCTTTTTTCCTCTATTCCTTCTCTACTGTTTTCTTTTTCATTAAGTGAATATTTTGCATTATGATATAAATCCTTATACTTTTTTTTCATTGATTTATTTTTTCTTATACCTATTCTGAGGTTTGACCATATACACCTTATCAGATTCAAATTCCCTAACTGAATTCCAGCACTATCTAGAAATATTGCTCCTATATATCTATGTGCTCTTAGTAAATATGGTATAAACATATTTACACCAACCTTTATGTGTCTATGTCACAAGTCTAATAAAACATGGTAATAATTATGAAATATGTCTATTAAGGCTTAATAAAAGCAAGTAATTGGAGAAGATCTTCAGAGCTCTGGGTTCTCAAGGACTCTGTTTCAGCCTGGGCAAATTCTCTGAGCCAGTGCTCTAGGCATTGGGTGAAGACAGCAGCCCGTGGACTTCCTGTTCCGCCCCTCATTGTTCAGGGTGTTTGGGCCCTGCATTATTAGTCTCACTGGGGTAGAACCTCCAGCTGTGTGTGGTACTGAATGGAGGAGAGAT